GTCGGAAATTTTCATTATTTACGATCGCGCTGCTGTAAATTACGCGGCGCGGCGGCGGCGGCGGCGGCGGCGGCGAGGAGCCACGCCGCAGATGGCCGGCGATGATACAGGAATAAATGGCACCTGACTCGTTACTGAGAAATCATGCAACTGGCACGCTGGCTACAATGTTAATCGAATCGTACTATACGACGTCGACTCCGGCAGTTAATTACGACGCGCCGAGTGTCGTTCCGCTTCGACACAGTACGTCCCCGTAACTGTCCAAGTCGAAATTCCCGTAATCAAATTTCCGGGCGCGTATCGTTTCTTTCTCGATTCGCGCCGCGCTCGTGAAACATATAATATAAATTACATGGAATCGTTATCACCTATAGAAATCACGTTCGAGGATATTTCTGACTTCTTGAGTTATTGAATATTAGTTCCGATATAACGACCGGGGAATATATATGCGTTTCGCGCGTCCTCCCTGTTAGCAATAGCACGAACTCCTCTTTTATTCCTTATTGTCAATTTGAAAATGTAAAGAACATAATATAGTGCAATCATTCGCGGTAATCGCTGTGTATTTGTACCACGATAGCATCTTGAAAAAAAAAAGGAGGACCTGACAGCGGCTTATTATCGCGGCTCGTGTGTCTCTCGCCGATATTGTAAATTACGCTAACCGAGCTTGAAATATTGGAACGTGAAACGCGAGATACGAAGAACAAGGGAACAAGAGAGTAGTTATAACGAATTACGAACGAGAGGAAGGAAGATAATGGTTTAACAGCTGCTTTTTCCGTCGCGGCGATAATTCGCGAGTAGCGACGAAGGGCAGCAAGAAAGTCAAGCGTCTTCGACGGGAGATATTCATTGTCGAATCATTCTCTCCCTTCGGCCACGCCACTTCGGCCGACACCTCCTCCTTCCCCCTCCTCGGAACAAAGAGAGATGCACATTCTCAAAATGCATGTCCTCCCCCCCCTCCCCCTTAAGTTTTTAATATGACGACAGGCTGACGTTTATTGCGATGGCATATACGGAATAAGGCATGCGTGAAGATACATATAGCGAGACATATACGATGACAAGATAAACGAAATGCGTGCATACGGAGGAGGACGATGATAATTACCTTTTCATTATACATCAGCTTAATCTGTTTTATGTGACGCTTCAATTTCGTATATCATACTCGGGCAGGCGAACGCGCGCTGCGGGTGCATGAAAAATACGCGGGGATCCGGAATGACCGGAATAATCAGGATTCGCGGATTAACGAGAAACAAGCGGTTAATAATGTGCGCGTTTATTTTTATTATCGCGATCTACACGCTTTACGAGGGTAAAAGACACGTTAAGAAAATGTGCGTGTTTATAAATAAAAAATGCGCAAAAATAAAAACTATCGTTTTGATTTTTAAATCTCTCAGAAATGTGTGTATATCATAGATTTTACAAGAAATATTCTTTAAATCTTTAAAATTAAAAAATTTTAAATAACATTCAGAAGATCTTTTATTACATTTTATATTATTTATATTATAAATATAAAATGTAATAAAAGATCTTCTGAATGTTATTTTAAATTTTTTAATTTTTTTCTTCATCACTATATACTATTTCTAAGTTTTTCATAGATGTAAATTCTATTTTTTCATAATTCAGGCTATCGGAATATGTATTAGATATTCAGACTATGTATTAATTTTTTGTTTAAAAGATTCATGTCTCCAGATCAAAGCCCGAATACTTGAGCCTACCGATTGATCACCACTCGCAGCAAAGTCGAGATGAAAGCTCGACGCTCGGCGTTCGTCCTGCATTCACTCGGACGTTGCAGTGTCGATACCTTACGGGCCGATAGTGAACTTCGTGCTCTTTCATCGACCAAGGCACTTGAAAAATATTTGCGATCGTATGCAGCAACAACGTAACGTTGTCTACACATGTTGGAACTCACTGATAACCATTTATAATACCTTCCACAAAATCTTTTCATATCGCATATTATTTATCATCTTACACGATTTCATACAATTCCACTACGTTTTTTATTAATTTACGTATATAATATTAATATGATACTATCTAAACAACTAAAAAATTGCTTTTAAAATAAAGAATAGCATTATTTTTCCCCCCTTAATTTAACGTTATGAATAATACTCTAAAGAAAAAGATTTCAAAGATGTTAAACGAGCTACAATCGATACGTGCGAACAATATAAAATCACACTTATGCAATATTCATCAAGAAATAGTTGTACGCAATCGATCGATGTTACGAGCGGGAAACTCGACGCGAATTAAAATTCGCTTTCGGTCTCGGAGTTGCCGCATCGATCCCGTAGGTTTTCGCGGAAAGCGGATGTTCATTGTCTTCATTCGACGTGGTCATTCGCGCGGCGAGAGCTGCCCATCACGTAAGAATTATGCCTTACAACATACGCAACCGCGTTGCATAAAGATATAACGAGTGTGACATGCGATCAATGAGACGGGTAATAAACTCTCCAGTTACGGCTGTCACTCAATCGCGAAGGAATCCCGTCTGCTTTGTTTGTCATTGCTCGAATGCAAATTCCGGAGCACTGTTCTCTCGCAACACTTTCACCACCGTTTGTTCTATAACAACAGTGCAAACGTAATATTTCCTTGCGATTTGTCGTTTTTAGAGGGAGAAGCAATAACTTCCTGAATGAAGTTTACTTATCAGCTTTTTGTTTTTGTAGATCTAGTGGTTTTGGCAAGATAAACTCACTGTCGTAACAAACTCACAATGAAAAATGTATTTAAATAAACAAATGTAAAACATTTAAACACTACTGAATAAACAAGATTTAAAAAAAAAAAGAAACAATTTTTACAAAATTTCACTCGAAATTCGATTTATTGGGAAATGTCGAATAGTTGGTTTTTGTCGAAGTTAGATTTCGTTCGTCTGAATTATTATTCGCGTTATTACAGGCGAGAAATAATTAGCGGTGCATTAGTATGAGCGGCGTTATTATTTTCACACTGTACGATTCTCACGGCGGCGAAACGTACGCCGCAAGGTGGAAAAAGCGGACAGAGGCTTCACTATGTTGCGCCGCGATATTCCGCGATCACCCTTATTGCTGCCACGTTAAATGTCAAGATGTTCTCTTGTATGATCGGGAAAGTTCTGGGTTAACCCGATGATTCGTATAATTGCATAATCGATGTTCACCGCTTGTACAATTACACGTCACAAAATTCGTGATCATTACGATTCGTAAATCATTACGTTACGTTACTGCGAACCGTTACAGCGTCCCACAATGCTGAGAAAGGTATATTCGGTTCAATGATCAAGTTCATTTGTTAATAGATAAATATTAGCAAATGCGAAAAATAATTGATACGTGAAGAACAATTTTGTTGTTGTAATTGATAGATGCTGACATAAATACAGTCTAGACCATAAGTATAAAGCAATTCTCTTCTATTTCTTAGAAAAGACGGTAATAAAGTATCAAAAAAAAACTTACAAAATGTTAAAATTGTTATTATAAAAATAAATATTATTTTTTAATAAAACTTTCCAATTTATTTTTTATTAGAATATAGAACATTTACGTTATTTGCTTTATATGATTATGAGAGAAAAAAATCGTTACAATTACCATAATTCAATTATATATTCGTCAGTCATTTTCGGTGCCAACTATATATATATTCGTTTGGTAAAATTGTAAATTATTATATTACAAAAATTATAATAGTAATAACTATATAAAAATGAAACTCCTAACCGGAATTAGTTTAAATACAATTACAGTCGCAAACACTGTTCTGTCAGTATATATTATACCCAAGATTGTATACACGCCTGCAAAATAATAAGATATTTAATGTGCTGTGAAAAGATATATGTACTTTCCAATAACAAAACATTTTTATTCTTCCGATGTACATGTTGAGTATGTAAATGCAATTTTTTGAACAACAATAATTTAACCGTCATATCTTATTATGCGCGAATTAAGGTCTTAACAAAACTTTTGGGATTAATAATTAAAATGCTGTTTTCTTGTACCACTTGAGTCCTATGTCGAAATCATCGGCATTGAAATCTCCGTCGTTGAAGTCTCCAGTGAGAAATGCACTTCGTGGACGCAGACATCCTTGAGATGAAAATACAAGAGGGTCTCTCGCACTGCGAAATTACGTCTCTGAAAATCAAGGGCGTTTTGAGTGGTCAAGGGCTCGATTGACGCCGCGTTATGCTTGCATGTCTGCCAGTCATTTAAGCAATGTCGAGGTAGAGAATTACTTAGCGTCAATATGCATCTTATAAGGCAATATGTAATTTCTCAACTGAATTTCTTCAGAGTGAGAAATAATATAACATAGTTATCGCATATTAAAATGCAATCATTCTTACATTTACATGTTCGACTATTTATAATAATTATTAATGTTAAAAAAATAGAGTTGCTAGTACAGAAATTCTTAATACTAATTAAATGCTATTTATATTTGCAAAAAAAATTTTAAATATCTATAAGGAACAATAATAATAATAAACAATAATAAATGAAGAAGCACAAGCAAATGGTGATAATACTGAAAGAAGGAACAGAAAAAAACTAGTTTATATGTTCCGTATTAACATATTGGAAAGTTGGAAAGAGCGCACGTAACTCTGAACCATCCCGCGCAGTATAATTTAAACATGCGAATATCGTGTGATTCGTGCGATGACTCACGCATATATACATAAACATTAAAGGTAATCATCGATCGCTATCAGTATTTACGCATTATGCTGCTCACTCTAATAGTAAGGGTTACGTCATGAATGAAAATTGGAAAAGCCCGGGAGATGCAATAGAAATTTTCAATCTCTTTGTAAGGCGAACTCGCGTGCTGAAGTTGAGGCGGAGGTCGGGCCCATGGGCGGGCCCCGCCGCTCCCGAAGGGGACCTATATAAGTAGAGACTCGCTCGGCGTATAACGCGATCCTTATAACACAATCACTTCTGCCTCATCACCAACCAGACATGCGTCCTCCCGTGAGTATTGTTACTCCCTTTTCTTTCTCTCACTTCATTTCATTAATTCGTAAACGCTGAACATAACAGGAATCTCACTTCCCGAGGCAAGGTTCAATTCCGATAATTGGGACACGTAAAAATGTTTTTGTGCAATGCTACAATGTGTATTTAATTAGCGTGAAAGATTGGAATAAATTTGAATTTATAAGAGTGAAAATTTTTCATCCCGCGAATAAAATGTTGGTTTCATAAAGATGTGCAATGTTGTGAAGTGTATTACATTAATTAGCGCGAAATTCCGGAGTAGATCGAAGTTTATAAGAGTGAAAATTTATATTCCATGAATAATTGAATATATAAGGATTGTATTCAATTTCAGTGAAAGAGCAATATATACAAGCATCTAGAAGTTGTATAAAGTGTACATTGACACTATTATTATAAATTTTTTTAAATACATCTTTCATAGAAGACAAAAAAATTATAATAATCATGCTTATGATTATTACAGTGAATTCTAGGTAGTTACGTTTCAGTGGTTAGCGATCAGATTGTCATTATAAGCAGCGTTTGCAGTCTTTCTATGAAGAAACGAGTATCGATAAATTTGCTAAATTTCACGTAGCTGTTTATACCCATTTTAAAAATCCGCGGAAAATTAGCCATAATAGCGCATCGTCTTCGCGCCATGTTGCCATTCGACTTTCCTCGAATGCGCGTGCGAGGCCATTGGAAAGTGTTCCGAATACCAACGTTTTTATGCAAATTCATGTCACCAGGTGCTGTTGTTTCTCTTGTTTTGCCTCGGCCTTGCGGTCGCCCAGCACAATCAACCGTATCCTACACCGGTACCTATCTTAAAGCAGATAAACAAGTGAGTGCCGGATTAGCGTTATGTAACTGAATGAAAGCGACGCAACGCAACGAATACCTATACGAATTTCTTTTCTATGTGAAAGTTATTTTACCATAATGATATTTTCTTTATTATATTTTCGCTCTAAAATTTATCGTTTCATTTTTACTTCTAACAAGATGTATGTATGTATATGCGCGAAAAGATGGATAATTTTCGGAAACATTTCCGACAGACATAACGAAGATGGTAGCTACAGTTACGGCTTCGAGGCGGCGGACGGCTCGTACAAGATCGAGTCCAAGTATCCGAACGGTGAGATTTACGGCAAGTACGGCTTCGTCGACGACACCGGGACTGTGCGCGAGGTCGAGTACGGCGCGTCCAAGGAGCGCGGCTTCGAGCCGGTCGGTCCTGGGATAAACGTGCCCCCGCCAACCTTGACCGGTAACAGCATCACCGGCAACGCGAACGAGCCCGAAGACGACGGGCAGTACCGCGAGGATCCGTCGATCTATCACACCGATCCGCGTTTCACCAACGGGGAACGTTGGGAGGTGCCAGCTAAGTACAGAACGCAACCGATCGCCTACAATCCGCCGCAGCAGATTCAGCAAATTGCACCAGCTGCTTATAATCAACCGAAGTGAGTCGCGATAAACTTTAGCGTGTAGACTATTTCGAAAGTGTCTGTCTTAATTTTAATGCAGAATTTTACAATCAATAAATTTTATAACAAATTTTATAAAGGACTTTTAAACATCGATATCATAATACATAAAAATTTAAAGCGTATTTCAAATTTAAAAGAGAAAGTAATTATAATAAATTACAATAAAGATTAATTATTTGTATTGAAAATTTGATAATTACGTGGCTTCTGCATTAAAGTTCATTCTTTTTTACTTATACATAATTTCATTAAGGTTCTCAATTTTTTTTCGACGGATTACCAACAATAAGTATGTCAATTTTCATTGACATACTTATTCAACCGAATCATTCAACGAAATCGAATTAAAATGCACGCGGGAGGATCGGCTCGCCGCGGAGAACGCAAAGAGGTAACGAGCGGGTTAAATGTCAAGTGAATCACTCGAAAGTACGGAGATCGTGACTTGCTCAACTTAGTGGGAAATCGGTCGCACCTCCGCGCTTCAACGGGAATGGGAAAGGAATATCGGTTATGACCCAATTTTTCGACTTTTCAGATATAAAGCGCCCAAAGGACAAAGCGTCAAGTATCGGCCGGCGGCGGTGGGGCCGCGATTCCAGACGGAATACCGACCGCAGTATCGATCGACATACGACACGCAGTATCAAGGTCAGCAGCTGCAACCCGTGTATCCTTCGTCCGCGATATCGGCCGGTCCTCAAGGACATATCGCGACCAATATCGACGTCAATGCCGGATTGGCATCTTACACGGTTGATTACAAACGATAAAGAAAGAGGAAGATAAGAGAAAGGGAGTCGAGGGAGGGAGTCGCATATATTCCATGTGTATATACATTATTTATAGATATTCCGAGATCGTTGCTCTGAACATTTATTTCATTGCTGCTTGATAAAACTGGTTAGTGCCGCCGTTGGAATATTTTCGACAGCGCACTGATTTAGTCGTAATTTAGCGGTAAGTTGCATCAGTATAGCTCTCAGTATCATTCAAACGGTGTCTACAATTAGACGTAAGACTTGAGATTTAAGAAAATTGCCCAATCGCAAACGATTATTCATCTCACGTGAGAAGAATAATCGATTGTGATTGGTCAATTTTCTTAAATCTTAAGTCTTAAGTCTCATTGTAGACGCCGCATTACGATTAGATAAATTTTAGAATGTATTTGTCTTTTGTCCACGCGAGTTTCGAATGAGACAGTATTTTCTACCTCTTGTCCTCCGACGTTTCCTCTTCCGTTTTAGGAGAGTCTCTATCTCTTTCACTGGAAAATTATATCATTACATTATGTTATTTCTTCTATTTATGATTTGCTTATTCTTAATTGTATGTATCTTTCCATTCTTCTCCTTTCATTTCGCAATGACGCATATTAATAATTAAGCCTTCACTAGCGGTGACTGGGTCATTCGAGACTCGATGGACAATTCTCGAAAATTACTCGTACATTCCCTCTTTTACATCGCAAAAGTGTAGAAAATCAAACTTAAAAACTGCTGCTTTTTCCTACTATGTGTACTATATTTATATGTGGTGCGCCTTTTTTTATTATTCAACACAGATCAAGAATAACCCAGCCTCCGTCCATCGAAAAGTACGTCTTCCCAGGATTAATAAGCGTGTAATTTACGCGCGGCATGCTTGCAGTCTTCATCCGGAAAGTGCACTTGCAAATAATTTGGGATCAATGTCAAAGTCTTAAAAGTATTATTCATATTTAAGCGTATAATGTATCATATGTGACACAAAAACATTATGCGTGAATAATGTTGCCCGAATTAAAGTGGAATGTAATCCCCCCGCGAGGTCAATATTAATAACTTGAACTGAAGGACGCGTCCATTTGGCTTGAATTTGACTTATAATGATATATTAATTAATATACAATCAAACAATCTAATCAATATTAAACTTGCCAGAAAATTCAAGTCACGTGCGCAAAATACAATATATGCATTAGCAATGGAGATTCCTTATAAGTGTCCCTATTTAATGGTTGAAAACGCAATTAACATTTTTTCCCAGCGTACGCCATCGAGGAACGCCATCGGGCTACATCGGGACACACCCAAGAATTTTATCGTTGGGTAACATCTAAGGACTTTAACGTGCTACCTTCGCACTCGGCCTTTCCGAATGCGCGTACAATAAAAATCCACGTGCACTACGGCGAATCGGATCCGCCATTCGATCTCTCCTCCGCATTCCTTTGAATTCTTAGTTCTTTGACAGTCCTCATTTTTTGCACATCATTTCACCATCGAATATGCCAATCTGTTTTTACGTTCATCAGAATAGATGTTCAATAGGGATAAATACATTTCACGTTTGCGAATTCTGCTGTAACGGTAAATATAAACGATATTATTTAATTCCGGAAAGATAATTTCTAAAAGTTTACTTTATTACTGTTTGCAATAAAAAAATTAGATTTTAATTAAACACTGTTGTCAATTTTTAACGGGGGCGATATAAAATTCTTCTGGAAATGTTAGTTAAGATATATAAAAAACATATCTTAATTTCGTAATATAAGAAAGATGTAATATATATTCAATAAAACACAATATACACTTTGCCTTCTCTTGATATTCCGTCATTCTTTCATGATAATAGCGATAAATTCTGAAGTGGATAATATAAGAAACAGCTAGTTGGCTCGTGCCAGCATCGCGTTTCAGCTTCTGGTTTAGGATCCTAATCTCCACGCATGGGGCTTACACGTCGCGCATACCTGATACGTGGAGAGTGCCACGGACCACCGCCCAAGTCCACCTTTCACAATATAATCCGCGATCTACTCGATTCCGCCGCGAGATCGGCGTCTACCGCTCGATCGGGCACATGTGTGTCGAGGCATCAGTTCTGCGAGAGAAAAATTCGATACAGCTCCTTTCAGACTTCCGCAAACACATTGAGGTCATCAAAAGAGCACGTTAATTCAGTTATAATCAAGATAATAAGACATGATTGGGAAAACTAAAGACAATAAAGTATAATTAAAATAAAATATGTCTGCGTCAGAGAGAGAAAAATAAAGCCAGTTCGGTCATCATATTTAATTTGTAATATTATATTTAATATCGCGTAATATCGATCGCCAATTAATTAACGGAATACGTTGCAAACGCGCCTACTCATCTACTCATCTACTTTTTGTAATGATATTTGAAGGAAAAAAATTATTCCTAAAAAAGAAAGTACACGTTAATGTTACGCACGATGACTTATCGATACTGATCGAGTTTTCATTCCCTTGTCTTCGATACGTATTTTATCGCGGCGCGACACACGCGTGCACGCAATAAGTATCGCGATTCCGCGTTCACTCTCGAGACATTCTGATGCAAGGCGTGGTGCGCGACGGTCCGGTGCGCCAGATGTCGGCAGAACTTGCTTTCCTTTTATCGGCGTAATGAACACGTATAACTTTCCTCTTTTTGTCGCCGCCACGTAATTATAAAACAAGTCGATTCGCGCTAAATCGGCCGAAAGTCATTTGTATCTCTCATTAAAACGCGATGTAATATATTACATTTTGGAGATAACTTTTCTAACATTTTATAACAAATTTTCTTTCTTTAATTTCAATATTTTCGTCTATGCTGCGCTGCAGTTTGTTGAAGCGTGTTATAAATTGCAACAAAATTGAATAAAAAAAATTATCATTCGTTTCATAACAATCATAACGTGTACCATTAATGATTATTCATGGCAATTGAAAATTCACACGTATGACCTTCAATAAATTACTACTAATTACAATTAATACAATGTCTTTATTTGTGCTCATTTCACACGTTGAACAATAAATTTATTATACAAATTTTAATAACTGCGATGCTTATTTAATAAATGTGGGAAATGTCACGTTTTCTTTTATTAATTTTTTGCGTCCCTTTAACACATGCAGTGGCATTCCTTTAACATATACCGGTTGCTAATTTTTAATATTAAGCTTATTATAATATGGCTTTTAATAGACCTACTTAATTTTATTAACATATTATTGGTGGTAGAATAAAAATTACAATTTAGTTCTGCTTAATTGGCATTTTCTACATTGCTCATTTCAATACGAAGAAATAATTTTTTCGAAAAAAAAGCTTAAAGAATGTTTCTAGTATATTTCAAAATTGAACCTTCTAGAGCGTATAATAGATATAATAGTTGGTACAATGTAATAAAATAATTTATACGTAATTGCGCATATTCGTATTGGTTCGTTTTTTTTTTGCCGAATGCCCGCGCGTGCCGCAACGACAGAACGACTTTTACGTTTTAGATATAGTCCAAGCGCTAATCATATCACCTTCTCTCACTAGCGAGCACCGAACACACGCCGTCGAGTTTTTGCGGACCTGAGATCCAGTCCCCGCGCGAGCCGTGTGATCGAGTTGTCGTTAAGCTCGGGTAATCCTTTCCGATTGTGTTGCATAAAAATAGAAAGTCGTAAGCGTTAATCGGAGGAAGCTGCTAGGCGAATCGTCATCGGCCCGTTGAAAAATCGACGCGACATCCGGAAAAATTGTCACCGATAATCGAACACTCTCGATAATTACGTTGACATCTCGTTGTCGGATTATTTGCGGCAAGAGTGTCGATTGGCTCTTGTCGCAAATCGTTGCAGTCATGTCCGTGACAGTTACATAATAAAAATAGGGGAAGGGTGCAAAGACGCAAGGGAAACGTGCCGTCGTAAACAGCATTGCTGGACGTCCTACGATCGCATATCAAGGAACTAATTCGATCTGAGATGATCTATATCAGTAAATGTCAGGGCTAGCGGCGCTGCGACTGTTTTCGAAGAGAGCGACTTGTGAAAGGCGAGGCTTGCACACTTCATAGCAAATTATGCAGAATTCTGCGTGTATGTATGTGTTCATTATGTATCATGATTGGATAATACTTCTTGAATTAAAAGGAAGTTTACAATGAGACTCCCTCGATCTTTCTTTAAGTTTATTATTACAAGGTTATGAATCCGTTATACTTCTATGTTTTATTTTAAAGGGGAGCAATATTATAAATGTAGTCTTAAAAATTTCTGATGTATTATAAAGTAAAGATTTTGAACGCTCTTTTTAATGATTGATAAACGAATTTGAATAAGAGGTGTATTAATTATTTAATACATCTCTTATTTAAATTCGTTTATCACTTATTAAAAGGAGCGTTCAATCTTTACTTCATATTATACATCAGAAATTTCCCTATATTTATATTTTTGCAATGCTAATCTTTAATACTTTGCTACTTTCCCCAATCAAAGCAATCGGCATGATCGTTTGACTATAATTGACTAATTCGATGAAACTTTACGAAGCTAATGCGGTATGTGCAATCGGAGATATTACATCGTTTGATGTAAGCAACATCAAATGGCTGGACCAATCGGTCCATTATAAGATTGAAAGAATTTTTTTTCGATGGCCATAAAAAATTGACCGATATGTTGTTCCCTTTCACTGAGTGGCATTGGAGTCACCGCGAAATCTTTGGCGAAATGAAACTGTAAATGCAGACATAATCTGGGTCGTTCACGGATGATTATCGCGGATCTTAATCGTGGAGTACGCCTCGTGGAAATCATCGTTAAACCATCACCACCGAGGCATAATCGCCTCGTGGACCTTGAGGACGCAGTTGCATTGCATAAGCATGAGAAATAAAAAAAATTTCCGTCTCTCTTCTCATTTTTCAAGAAATGTGTACATATTCATATTTTATATAGTCACGATTTATATGTATAAATATATATTCCGCGTTAGACCGAAATCCATATATCTAAATCGCACGTGCAAATATATATACTGTATTATTACTATTATTATAGCACAAAGTAATATAATTTTATATACAATATTAAGTAAAATTATTAAAATTATGCCAAAAATGTCAGGAAACATAGTGCCGATACACTATCGGCATTAATTGGCGCGTGACGTGGCGAGAAAAATTAGCTAACGAAATAAGAGGCAGGTACATATATCGGTCGATTGGTTTACCGGCCGTCTAATATGCCGATAGAAAGTTACAAAACGCCGATCCACCGCATAATTTCACAGGCGGAACCCATGCGATCCGCGGCGCGGGTTTCGTAAACTCAGGTGAAAACATCGTGAGTGACCGGTCGGCCGGCCTGCAAAGGCCGTACTCCATTTTACCGAATCGCTGCTCAACCTTGCAATCGGTCAGTTTCAAGGAGACGAACGGGAGTCACGCCATTATATTTTGAGGCTCAATGCCGCGCTCTCCAGCTCCAGACTACGTGGAATCTAACGGAAATCTGACGGCGCAATCGTATGAATCTTAAAGGTTGTTTGTACTTCGATATTTCCTACTTCCGCTCATGATACGCATACATTTATTTACGAAAATTATCGTACCGTTATTTACTCCGAATTGATGTAATTAAGATTATAACAGAGTATAAATTTGTAATTTGTAATAAATCGTTTATGCTGCCCTATCGATATTTGATTTTCAAATACGTATAATCAAATCAGGGCGGGGCGATATGTAATAACACTTTCTCTTTTTCAAGATACTTGAGCATGAGCGAGAGTGAGTGTCGCGGGGCAGAACGTATTGTTGAGATTAATATTACATAAGCTTCGAATTGCGGTCAATTACACTTGATCCTCCGTCCTACGTGGACGATCTCGTACAATTTATGTTTTCACAGGAAATGCGATTTCGGTAACAAGTACTTCAATAGAATAGTTCGTAGAGAAACTTACGTCTGCTCATTAAACTTTAATGGCTGATGGTCAAGTATGCGTTACTCTTACTATGGGCTTTTAATTCTTCGCTTTCGTAATAATTTAACTCTTTAACATATATTAAAACCACGCATTTAATCATGTATTTACGGAAAAAACGGTTTTACTGGAACATCGAAAAATTTAGCTAGATATAGATCTGAAAATAATTTTAGAGGGTGGTTACTAGAATGTCAAAACTTCTTGCGGCATTATTATCTTTGAGCGTTCAACATAATTATTTTGGTACAATCCAACAAAATTATTTTCAAATCTGTATCCATAGCTAAATTTTTAGATACTTCGCAAAACTTCCTGTTGATAGAAAACTCACAAAAAATGTTTTAGTGATATTTTCTTAAATCATAAAATATAAGATAATATATGTGGAGTTATATTTATTTTACGCTAATGACTTTTAATCATTGTAATGCGCCGTAATACCTACAATCTACTCTATAAATTTTCTGGAGTAAATTTTCACTTCTTTGGAGTGAATCTCACTCCAAAAGAGTGAAAATACTGCCACTTAAGTAGCCGAGTGGCAGTATTTTCACTCTTTTGGAGTGAGATTCACTCCAGGAAATTTAGAGAGTAAGTAGAAATGTTTAAGTTTCTATATGGCAGACATGAGGAGACTTAAATTCGCAAGTTGCAAATTAATTTTGGAATGTACAAAGTATGTGTTCAGGGTAGTTACACGAACGTGCGTGACACAGGAGTTGCAAAACCTGTCAAGTTAGTGGTTCAATACTGGATTTAAAATGGCTACGTTGCGAGAGAAAGACCGAACGACACGCGGCGATAAATAAAATGGCCCGTTTTTTTTTTTACGACTTATCCCGCGAGACTGCATGAAGGCGAGACGGTGGCCAGTGATAAGAACGAGCGCACTCGTCAAATTATTTGAAACGGCGGTGCTCCTGCGTAATTTCTCTTTCGTGGCCCCGATCTATACCTATCGCGCCACAGTTTTACATAATATCTCACCTTAGAAACCCGGCACACCAGTTTCACAAAACCGATCCAATTTTTCGTCGGGGCGGATTACATGATCGTCGTGCCGGCTCTGCCAATTTCTATAAGCGAGGTCTGCTCCGTTCATTCAAGAAGATGTCATTGAACGAGGGGGAATTTTTCGAGTCGTGTTTCCATGCCGATTCACGAACCGCGTCCCGCGCCTTTAACAGTGTACAACAGCCGACAGAAATGATAGTCTTTCGGAGCGGCTTGATTGGAGCGTTACGCTCTTAATGACGAAATTCTACCCGTAATCGATCCGCGGACCGGCCAACCGAGAGACGGAGTGCGATTTTCCAGATTCTCGCGAAACCAGAGAACCTCTGGTGGGGAATATTTAGGGGATATAAGGTGCAGTAAACGAGGCAAGGAGGCCGTACGGGTACGTACAGGAGTCGAATAGATAGTGAAAGTCCCCCGGAGCGGACAGGAGTGCTAAGGGAGGGAGAGCAGGGGTCGACAGGAACGGGGGGGCTTCAGTAAGGTATATGAGGGCCTCAGTTCGAGCAATCGCCGGTACTCTAGCCTCGCTGCCTACTTACATTCACACACACTAACACAACCACCGACCGCCGGGAAAACACGATGCACACCCTCGCGACGGTACGTATCTGAGTGGCATCATCAGTATCATCGTCATCAATTTGATCCCCCCCCCCCCAAAAAAAGAAAAAAATGCGAGCGCCAGAACGGAAATCGCGTGTGATGTGATTGTGGCCTGTGACCAGTGCATATATCCGCATCGTGAGCTTGGAAAATTGACGTTACAAGCCGTGAAGAATTTATTCTCATTTTTACTTATCTTGTCTTTACATCGGCTTTACAGAGTCTTATTCCATTTTCTGTGGTTGTTGGCAACGTAAACTGTTTCATGGAATATTATAAATAAGTACACCTAATTAATCGCGATAAAGAATCGTGTCGCAGTTATTATTTTACAAAAGTTACACAAATTCGTGCAATTTAAAGCGATTTAATAAATCTCGAGACTGTGATTCAAGAAGGATATCTACATCGGATTCGCGATTCTCTTTGAATTTTTGCGTCAATTTATTAACGTTTTACTTTGTCTGTCTTTTTACCATCCGAGAATCACGTCGCTCGCTCGTTGTAATCGTTAAATCCGCGGCAAAGAAGCGAAACGATCGAAAACGGCCGGCATCAACGCGTAGGCTTGGTCGCGTTGCGCAACTTTCTCGTTGATCCCGTTTCCTACTTTCTTCCACGTCGTGGTAGAATTTATTAAGGTTTCACCTATTATGAGCCGCGCGAGACGCATTTATTTTTATAGCGCGCCTACTGACGCTTGCGGAAAGACGATTATATAATTTCGTCATTATATGCTCGAATTCGTCATTATGCGGTCGCGTGCGATGACCGACGGGAATATGCGAGCGGCAGCTCTTGAGGTCGGTTGCACCAGCATCGGTTAACCATGGTTAATTAACTCCTTGCCCGTAAAACTGCGCTATGTAAGACCTATTGTTCCATTCTTTTCTCCGTTTTACTGGAATGAAAATAATTCCGGACTGTCAAAATATGTTTCTGTCATTTCACTCGTAAAGACATCGTCTGGAAAGGATAGGTAGGAAGAAAGAATTGCATTCCGTAATTTAAATTCGCTGAAAACACCTGAAGGACAAGAAGTTAAGTGCAGACGAAACATGTGGTGGACGGAAATAAGAATTGCCAATTACTATACCGAATCGCCGTGCAAATACTTGCACTCGCCGTATGTAAAACAGCCGCAGTATCGGGAAATAGGAATTTATACTAGCAGTCAAGTCAACGAGAAATAATGACGAAACAGCGTGACATAATTCGATGAAAGCGAATAAATTTCATGATTTAATTAATAGCCAGTCTAATTAATCCGAATTGATGCTGATTCAAATGCCGCCTCTCGGCATTTCACGCTCGCCCATTTGGAATTGCAGGAAGCATACTATGCAGATCGAAATAAATTAATTATTTCTTGTTAATTTTAGAATCAGCACGCGGTCGTAATCGAGTGCACGTATGGAATGGATAGGACGGGCGGAGGGACGGGCGGGGGGGGGGGTGCACATACGCGGTCACGCGTGGGCGATCGCGATTAATAGCTTGATTATCGATTTCCCGCATCGGTGTGCGTTCGTATAGCGCGGTTTCCGCGGCTCGAGGCCCATTCCGTCGTCGCGGAATCCGGTATCCTTCGCGCTCCGCGCGATCTATTCCCGACCGTGTCGCAATGCTGTTTGCATCTGTGGCGGTTAAGGTTCTCGATGGCCTGCTGGATAGCAAGTTAAGTTCAACGCGCTGTCGCGCGATGATCTCACGACCGCGTTTCACGAAGTTAACGGTTCGTAACTTCGTGACAGTTATACATATCCGCCCTTGCGCCGCAAAGGCTCTTTTCTTCGCGTGTGAAAAACGAAATGAGCACTATAAGAATGATAAAGTAAAATTCAGTAAATCTAGCGGCATTAGAGCGAAAAGCTGTAAAATGTCTGGCTTACTATTCTAAATTATCTACTACAGTTTTTGTAAAAATCTTAACTACTAAATTGCAAAACCTAAACAGTTATTAAATAGCTCGAAAAGCAGAACAAACCTGAAATAACCTGAAATAATGACTAATGTCTGGCTTACTTTTCTAAATTATCTACTACAGTTTTTGTAAAAGTTTAGACTATATTAAATTGCAAAACCTAAACAGTTATTAAATAGCTCAAAAAGCAGAACAAACCTGAAATAACATGAAATAATGACTTAGTTTTGGGTTATAACTTACTTAATTATATACAATTTAGTTTACGTAATTAAATTGAAGAGAAATGAATGTGTGCAACTAGAGCGAGATGTAAAGAAATGTTGCAATTAAATGCTGCTTCTGTCGCTTACTAATACATAAGCAATCTCCAATGGTACATGCTCTAAGTATTCTAATTAGAAATATGCTGTGAAAGCCTATGAACTGACAGTGCTTCCGTGTTTTCAGGTAGCAACGGTGCTTACCGCGCTGCTGGCGGTGTCGGCACAGCAGTACCAGCAACCCGGCGGCAATTACGTTGACGATTATGCCCAGTACGACTCCCAACGACCTAGCCAGCCGACCCCGCGTAGCTACGCGAGCAACGCCGTGCCGGACCGCCAGTCGGCCGCGCCGGCGAATCCGAAGCCGACGCCGGTGGCGATCCTGAAGCAGATCAATCGCCACAACGAGGACGGCTCGTACACGTACGGTTTCGAGGGCGCCGACGGCTCGTTCAAGATCGAGACCAAGCTGCCGACCGGCGACGTGAAGGGCAAGTACGGCTTCGTCGACGACACCGGCAAGGTCCGTATAGTCGAGTACGGCGCGAACCAGTACGGCTTCCAGCCGGCCGGTGAGGGCATCACCGTGGCCCCGCCGACCCTGTTCGACGAGACCACCAGCAAGGAGGCCCTCGAGGCGCAGGCCTACGAGGAGTATCAGCAGCAGCAGCAGCAGCAGCAACAGCAGCGGCAACTGGCCGCTCGTCCGGCTTACCAGCAGCAGTCGCACACCCAGGCCGTGTACGCTCCCGCGCAGGTAGCCCCGAGCAGACCCGCGCTTCCCAAACCGCCCATCTTCACCCCGGCAGCACCCCAAGCGGCGCCACGGCAGTCCGCCCTGCTGCCGCAGAACTACGACGGACCTCCGGCGCCGGCCTCGCAGCTCTACAATCAGGGACCAGCTCAATTCGCCCCGGCGCCGGCCGCCCAGGACCAAGACCGTGCCCAGCCGCAGACCCGCAGCGGCGGCGGCGGTATCCTGGACCAGCTCGCCAGGGACTACGCTCTGCCTCAGGGAGTGGCGCCGCCGTTGCACGACATCAGCTTCGGCTACTACTAGGCCCGTCTAGTCTCCTGCCCCCTTTGCCCGTCGAAGAGTACGAGAGTCCGGGATCAATCGTCGGAGCCTCAGCAAAATTTTACCGCCGCTCAGCTATAACGCTATATATTCTAATAGTTTTCCATAGAATAGCTGTACTTTACGTCGCTGTAGAGTTTAATTCTTGTGTATAGCAATTAAGCGCTATACACACTATAATATAGCTATTTAAGAGTTACCGTGTAATTACGATTGATCCCAGACTCGACTGCTTGTTCCCGGTTGCGTGTTGGTCTTGTATTCTATTCGTGAATGGAACGTGTTGGCGATTGAATAACTCGTCGTAATCACGGCGTGGTCCACTCTCGCCGAAGTGGACGGCACTGTGATTGATGATCGTCGCGAATAGACCGTCGATTACGATCGAAAGTTGAGAACTTCTAGTCTATTGACGTCTGAAGTTGCGAGAAATTGAAAAAAAAAAAAAGATTCTAGCTCGTTCACGTAACACACAATTTTTTTCATATTAATAATATTTAAATAACAATTAAAAATATCTATCCATGAGACAAAAAAACAATCTCATATATTTCACATTGCGTCAGCGGGAAACTGTGATAAGTTGACAAAATATAAAACAATTTTGATAGAAATTAATACGTTGTTCAAGTGGATTTTAGCCTTTCCTTTTTTGACGTTAGAAATTAATTAAGATAAAGTTTTTCAAGGTCTCCTAAAAGCGAGAAATGCTGATTTTTCGAGCAAATAGACGTCAAGGTCTAAGTTCTCAACTTCGATTATTTTCACGGTCCATCGAGTTATAATATTAGAGAGTAATATTTGAGCATCATCTTTTTATCGATCATTAAAATTATTGTTATACACACATCACTCATCGAAGAATTGCCCAGATAACAAGCGGTACCGATTAGTAAGAGTTGTAAAAAGAATGTAAATAAAAATTTCTCGTCTCTCCCTTCTGTGGGCGTTCGCTTTTACTCCGGAAAACGCAGTTCGCCTTGAGAACTCGCCATCCTGGAGTACCATTGCGATCAGTCGGAATTGCGTTTTCACGACGAAGTTCCGCGAGAATGTTATGTTAATTGGGCGTGCTTACCATTGTAATTAGATTATTGTAAGGTAATTCGAGTGGAATAAAGTGAGGCCAATACTAAATTCCACCGCCTGTGAGTTATGGAACGCAAAACAAAACAAAACCAAATTTCCGTACAATGCCGGTACGACGAGATTTCCTGATTTCACCTTTCCAATTACGCCTCCTCGTTATAGGCATAAAGACTTTCGATGTTCGTATTTGCTGAACGCACAAAAGAACAAAGTCATCTTCGTTCGGATGTACTACATTCATACTCGATTCTAAATTACCGGATTGTTCTTTATGTTTATGAATACAATAAGAAAATTCCATTTATTGCAACGATGACAATGTGCGTTTAATTGTATCATATTTTTGCAAAGAGTCAAACTGACATTAGTCGTAAAAAATTGTTTAATTACTTATCTATCTAAGTACAAGTCTAAATCTGACTATATCTAAAAAATTATAATACGAAGATTTCCTGTAAAAAAAAATACTTCAGTTACAAAGAAACCACGCTCGTGTGTAAAATTAACGAACAGAAAATGATTAAATCAAGGCCAATTTACTCGTTTTTTGGCCTTGATTTAATCATTTTCTGTTTGTTAAACTACTTCAGTTTCAGATTAATATTATCGCTCGAGCCGCAAAATTTATCAAAAATAACTTTCATAATTTTGTAAAAATAACATTTTTCTCCTGAGAACATACATTCTCGATAATCTTTATTAAAGATTCTTTAAAAGAAACTAATGCATTTTAGCAGTTTGGGAAAGGAGCGTTGAATTCACTTTTTTTTACTCAATTTGTTAATCTCACTTATTCTCACTTGCTTAATCCATGAATAATTAAAATTGTCTTAGTATTTTCGTAAGCACATTTTCATAAATAGAAAGAAACAACAATTTATTTCACTTTGTCGAGCCATATCAACGAATTTCTCTCAATCTATTTTTATTAAAATCGACGCTTTTACTTGCACTAAAGAATCACAAAGCAATAAAATAAATTATTGTTTTCTTCTATTTTAAATGTACAAAAAAATATTTCCCGGATACGAAAATAACTTCAACTACGGACTTTTCGGATTCAATAAGTAAAATTGAGTAAGAAAAGGTTAGCCCAACCATTTTTATCTCAAATCATCTAACGTAGACTCCTTTCATCGCTTCGTTTTTCAATGAATTCGTTCAGTATACGCAAGAATAATTTAAAAACGCCTGATGTAATGACAACCAAAGTCACATCGTTGTAGGAACGGTTGCATGCGATCTTGCCCCCCTTTTGACTTCCTAAGATTACGAAATACCGCGAGTAAGCACAAACCGGTTCGATTTCTCACAGGATAAATTTTCGCATCGCACCAGCGCGATCTGGCCTTATTGTAAGACCTATATCTTCTGCTTTCTGATTGCCAAAATCGCATGTTTCCCACGTCCTATCCTTCATCGCGCGCGCGAATGATTCCGTGGTTTCCTTGAAATTTCACCATGACGACGACGATTCGGCACATACTTCTGGAAATATCCGTCACCTCCAGAGATATCCCGTCACAATCGAGGTCCTGTTATATTGAACAAAGGGGGTTCTACTTTCGTTCTCTGAAAGTCTCAAGGTGAACGAGCCGGCGCTATACTTTTCTCTCCTCAAAAGCGTTCTCAGCGATCGGTTCAGCGTACAAAAAAAAAAATGCGTGTGAGCTGTGTGAATTATTACGTATTGTAAACTCTCGATAAAACGCGACCTTGCTGGCCCCGCAATTTTCGCCACTATACTTCCTGCATCTTTCGTAATAAGTGGTCAGAAATAACGTAGCGTATCCTATGTGTGATAGGCGATTTCTTTATCGATTACAATCGCTTGTCTATTTATCATATCTATTACTACCACGGCCTTAAAATTTGCAAGTTTGTAGGCATTAATCTTCAATCTTCTATACGTGTATGCAATTTCTGCAGCAGATTTTGCCTCTTTTCGTTTTAACGTGTTGAAAAAGGTACCGCGTTTAAAATCTGATTCTTGTTTGCATTATTTATGCCGTTGTACCGCACGTTTCAAGGGCCGTGCTGGCAGAGCCGATGCTGCATAATAAGTACCCTCTTTCCATCGCCCATCACGTATCGCGAACCACAAGGTGAAGATCCGCGCGCCCGTTTATCAGCGATAGAAGGGCGTCGTACATCAGTACAAGCACCGCGTTCACGATTACAGGACAAATTGCAACGAGGCGTATCCTGGCGTCGCGCCAAACGTGCGATCGCGTCATAACGCACCTTTTGTGCAAGGTGGGCATTACTTCATGATCGCGTTGACCTTCTCGCATGCAAAAACGAGCCGTGCAGTCGGCGTCGCGGATACGACGATGCTCGCGCGCAGCACGGCAGTACCTATACATTGGCATACCGCTGCGTGAAACGTATAGACGACGTACATATTGACATTCACTCCTTAGAAAGCTGTAAGACGCGTGTCGAGATAGCGCCAATTATCGCAATCTTAATTCTCTTTAGAATCCCAATTACTCTTATTGACTTACTCGTCGATTATACTGGCGAGAGCGCGCGACTCGACGACGACGACGACTACGAGGTGGAACATGATTCGCGCTATAAAATTCGTAATGAAGGAAAATCACGCGTGGCTCTGCGAAATTATACACGCTACCCGTAACGGGCCGTTGACACTTGTCAGCCAGGCGAGTCACGCAAAACGCTCCGTTGGATTTCAACATTAGACGGCAGGCACGACAGGCTTCACCTACCTCGACTGAATTTATGCTCTCCGTTGGAGTTGCACGAAATCTACGATAAGCGTTGATGCAAGCGATCGTGACTTTCAATCGAGGCACGCTCGGCGAAAATTCGGAGGAAATATAATTGAAACTTTTCTGTCATGACTTTATTTGGTTTACTAAACACCGTTTTGCTCGTATCTATTAAACTTAGAATCTTCTAAATTAAGAAAGAAATGTAATCTCTTTCTTCTCTTCCTGATTTAAGTTCATACCTTTAAATCCTTATTTTTTAAAATTTTCATTGATAAAATTTTCATTGATAAAGTTTTCATTGATAAACACAAATTGCTTAAATAGCTCAATTAATCGATTGCAAAAAAATATTTTATAATTCATTGAATTAATTAAAATACAGTAGAAATACCGTAGTCAAAAGACTGGTTATAAATTTTTTATTAAATTTATAACGGTAAATTCTTCGAGATTTTCCGTGATTTTTGTTACAATATGTAATAATTAAATTGATCAATTTAAACTTTCTCTTTTTCATTCCTTATTTTTTAAATATATGTACATATAATATACTTAAATAGAGAAGTAGGTATATGTTAATCGTTAGTAGCTCTAATGTTAATAACGGCAAATTCCATGAATGTGCGTAACTGAGTGATAGTCCCCGAATACATTTTTACGCAATACCAGAAATAAGACTGATTAAATTACGAGTTGCACGCAAGTTACAAGGGAATAACGAAGATATATGTAACGCTCCTGTAAACACTTAGGCCGGATCTGCGAGTGTGAAAATAGCCTCGTGAAAATAACTTTCCCCTTCGAAAGTTTTAAGACGGTCAGCTGAACGCTACGGAATCCGTTCGCAATCGCGTTAGGATGTGTAGCAGCATTGATAATGAACTGTATATGTCCAACCCACTACAATAATCTCTCACATATCTAAACATGACCAAAATATATTACACGACGTATAATAATTACAAATTATTTTCACTTATTTTTTCTGGTAGCTCTAAATTCTTTTTCTTATAGCTTAAGTATGTTTTTGTATTTTTATATATTTGTATTTCACTAAAGTCTAAAATGTTTCGAATTTTTATATTTATAAATAAAAGAATATATAATATAATTTTATATTTTTACTTTGCCGAAATATAATATTATAAATATAATAAATTTTTCTAAAGGATATATTTAAAATATATATACTATTGTAAAAGGAATTGTATACCAGAATTCCGTTATTTATATAATACATTTTTTATTTTAGTTATTGACAATACCATTATTAGTTATTGATAATAGCAATATATTCCGATAAGGTATTATTACAGTATTGATAACTACTTAAACAGATTGAACGTACAATTGTACAAGTTTTACTTACTACTGCCAAGGAATTTCATTGCCGTCACAACATTGTGCATCGCCTAGCGCTTCGTGCCGAAGCCAGGACGATCAGCTGAGCGTGCGGCAGAAAATGCCGCAGCATTGATAATGAACCGAGCGAGTGTCTAGGCACGTGCTCTCTGCTCGCGTGGAGATGAATCGATGCCTCGAGAAGTAATAACATCGTGTTCCACGTTCCGCAGCGGTGCCGGCGCCTCAAGCGTATCCATTCGCCTCGTCTTTCCATTGATGATACCGAGAGCGAACTCGAATACGCCTCCGTCCGACCTAATGAAAGCGAGTGAATGCGATTTCTTCCTGAGAAAACCGGCTCCGCGATATTGGCATAAATCTCGGAACGGAATAAGATTCGCTCGGTGCCGCAACACGTCGCTATTTATTGCCAGGAAATTTTACGATAATTTCACAGAAATTTGAAAGCCGGCTGCGTATCGCGAAAGTCGCCGATATATTTCCGCGGAATCGAAATCTCTCTAACGCGGACTACTTCTGCACCGATTTTATATGGTTTTTTACACGAGGAGGCAATTAATGCAATTAATATGCGAGGTGATCCTCTTGACTACTGTTCAAGAATCGTCCGACTGTGAAATCGGATCTTTTTAAAAATCGATCCCGATTTATTGACGGGCAATCACATCGACGTTTACCTTCATTATTACGAATTCAACAAGCTGACGGACACGCCGAATCGATGACTATACCGATTATGCTAAGTGCTCTTCCGTCCATAATACACAACGAGCGAAAGCGTATCGCCGTATTCTATAGGCTTCACATATATAGATCGCGCGGATGCTTCGTAACTGTCTTAAGAAATAGGAACATCAATTACCCCGCGGCTCTCCCGAATTAATATACATCGTTCTCGCGGCGCCTGAATGCGATATTAGCCACTCCACGCGGCCTCTCCGTCACTTTCTTCTTCTCGCTGGTGCGCACATGTACTCGTCGTCCTTAAGAACCGGCCGATTAACACTGATTGAGTGAGACCATTTCGGCCGATATTTCTATCAGCGTTCGCTGCGCGATAAAACCGGTAATATCATGGATTACTGTGGATGTTGTATCGCATTTATTTCGCTCGATCTCACGAAGATTTATAGGAAAATCCCGAGATCTCGCTTGTTTTATTTGTTCCAATGCAAATAAATGGAAACAGAATGGAAAATGAAAGTGAATAGAGAGCAATTTACAAATAATAAATCAACGTTTATTAATAGGCTAGACTGGCTAGAAAAAATAAAATTTGTTAATTTTTTTCTAGATAAAATTCTTCTAAATTATAAGAAAAAAAATCATATTATATCATAAGTAATTAACATAACATTGAAGTATCAATGTTACAGCTTTAATTTATATTTATTTATTAATCAATTATATTTAAAGAAAAAAAAAATCTATTTTCTTAAAATAGATTTCTTTGAAACGTGGAATTAAAGCATCATTTTATGAATGCCAAATTAAACGACATTTTTAGTGTTTAGATTTATATCGAAAAAAAAAAATATTGTGTACTGATCTCAGGATCTTTTAATGATTGTATTGTACCTTGATGAGCATTAAGATAATTACTTATAAATGTTAAACTAAAGCACAAAAAGGGGTTAAATAGCTTTCACAGAACGTGAATTCCGCTCTCGAACGTCAATTTCGAATGTATCTTGAATATATCCGCCCACGTGTATAAATTTTTCTCACGACCCTGCACGGTCTGGTCTATCGCTCGATCTAAACTTTCGTATGCCAATCCGCCATGCGCGCTCGCACAATGCATGTTATTTGCACGCACTCCGTTTTAATTAAGCAGTGCAGAATGGCAGAAACTATGGGTATAAACTATGGTAATGACTTTGCCGGATCCGCAGCATTATAAAATTGTATAGTGTTATCAACGCGAAAGGAACACACGCACGCGCGCGCGGAGCGCGCAATTCGTTCTTTCAACAATTGGACTGTAAGAAAAAAATTGCTCGATAAACTTCGCACGACCAACTGTTGTCATGAACACGCCACGAACTGACAATCCAACTGACAGAGATGTATATCAAGGCATAGGTATATCATAACATACGGAAGAAACATTCCACATACCACAACATGCCGGATCGTTTTAGATAAGTAATTAATACGCTAGCGCAAGCTGCCCATTTGCGCAGCGAATACCCGGAGGATATTCTATTATCCTGTACAAACCACCTTTCCATCATCGTATCTCTCGATAGACGCTGACAATCTAATTTGGCATGGGGCACAACGTGGCGGAGCGTTGTCTTAGGCGCGCGCGTACGTTAGAATCGGTTCTCACGACCCTACACCCGATCCGATTCCCGTACCCCTTTCGGGGAGATCGACGTGTCTCCTCTCTCGGTGTGTCCAATACGCAACATTTTACCACTGTGTTTTTCAATGTTGCACGCAACTGCGAACTGGGAGCTTTCGCAATCGCAGAGAGGCGCGGTGCGGCCTGTTTGGCAATGGCCATGTCGTCCGGTCCTCCCTGAGTCCACAACCGGAATCTAATTCGCGGGTGTCGCGGGTGTCGAAGAGGACGTGGAGCACACGGCTATCCGACGACCGGGCCCCCACTATAGGCAAAAGCCTTCGTGTAGGTTATAAAGGACCGAGCGCGGTACTATACGGCTGCACTCTCTCAGTGAAACTCACGGAGGACCGTTCCCCGACAAGTAGTACCTTCCCCCTCCTCGTCAGCGACGCGTGCACCATGAGGATTATATTGCTGGTACGTGCCAAATTATTCGGTTATTTTTGTTAACCGCGTGATTTCCGTTGATTGTGCCCTCTTTCCGCGATTAATCAACTTATCTTTGGAGATTTTAACGTGTTACACCTCGGTGTCTCATTTCTTTCCAATGTCCACGTTTGACGCAAGGCATGTAATTAAATTTGTGAAAAATTGATATAGAGAATTTCTAACTAATTAAAAATTCTAACATTTCAAATGTTGTACAATATTATAATGTATGTTATAGCATTACTGTGAAAAAGTTTGCAAAAGTAATAAATGCACGAGTCCAAAAAGGTACAAAAAAAATATTTTTTAGTATTTTATTTAACGTATTTGTGGACGTTTACATGCAACAATGCGTGACAATATAATTTATCTTTTGCATAATTTTAGAAATTGCATGTGTGATTTTTTTTTTAACATTATATATGTAGACTTATTGTTTAATTTTTTATCACAAAATTGACACACAATTATACTATTGATAACTACATTATATCATTGAGTATTTTTTAAATCAGTATAAATAGTATATTTATTATGTTCTCACACATCATTATAACATTTCGGATTTATGTAGATAGCATTTATATGTATTACGTATTAAGATATTAATCGCGATGTTTTATTTTTAGAATCTTAAAATCTCATTATCCTGTGACCTATATCAAATTAACCGTCATTAACGCAGGAAAGTCAGAATCCCGATAAAATCTACGCGGTCCATTGTTGCAATTTGCGCGCGCGCGTGTGAAAACATTTATAATTCATAGACGGCGCAATGATTAACAACAACGGAAAGTGAATTGTGTCCGCCCACTCGGTGCCCCCCGTGCACGGCCACGAGAGAATTTTCGCTGGAAATCCCCCTTTTGCCGCTCGCCCGTGCGAAAAGCGCGCCTCGCGGACGCGAGAAAACTCAAAGCGTTGTACTCGAAAATTGCAACAGTTTTCCCGCGAACAGTCCCGTGAATTAATTGTATACCCGTAAGGCAAGTTGTTGACATCCGTCCGTTGCCTTAATGAACCCGCGCCCGGACGCGGTTGGGTAACGTAATCTTTTGTTGAATGGGAAGCAGACTCGTGCCTCTCCGCGCACTCGAAAACTCCGCGAGTCGCAAACGAGCGACTATACACACGTTTCGTTGCAGGCCGATAATTTTTTTTTTTTTTTTTTTTTCACGGCGAGACTTGCGCGAATTTTTCAAACGCGCTCATTACGCGCCGTATTGATTAATATAGTGAAAGTTCTGTTCGTTATATATTCCGGTTATAGCTCTCCGCTGGCATTGTTACAGCCGCTGGCTGTCCACGGCTCGCTCCATTCTTGACCCGAGCCGCTCGAGACAGATAGACACGTTTCTTCCTTCAGCTGTAAAGTTTTTGCGACCGGTAACGCGAGCCGGCACATAATCGAAACTAGTATGAATTTCGGTCGATTCGGTTCACGCTACTTATTTCACAAAAGCGCCACTTAATCAATTACCACGTGTATTCTTACACGCCCGTAAACGGCCGTCAGTCAGGCTCTTGTGGGAACGTTTAATAATCGTCCGATTTCACCCGTGCACTTGTGGCACACAAGTGTAATTCGCGAATCGTGCGAAGAAATGCACGAGGATTCCCCCCCCCCTCCTCCCCCCCTGCGCGCGATATAACGGCGCCGATTTCTCCGATTCCTTTTCCCGCGGCTTCGGCGCGTAAGGTGACAATTAAACGCTTATTAATAATTCACGAGAGCGTCTTCTATATATCTTCGCGATCGTTTCCCTATCTCTCACGTTTCGCGATCCGATCTCTCGAGGCGGAGCGGCGGCCGCGGGTTCGTTCACGCGAGAGTTAACCGCGTGAAATTGAAGACGATCGCGGACGATCTCGCGTAATATGTGCGTCTCGTGGATTTACGGCTTGCTGCCGCGATGGAAGTGGCGCGCGAGATAATTCCGGATGCGTGTACGCGAGACGCCTCGAGACGTTCGAGTGTGTACACCAAGAAATCGGCGCCGGCGATCGAAACGATCGGCGCGACCCGGAGAACTCGCCTGGGGTAGTCCGATTATTGGCACTTTCACCGATTACACAAATATGGGACGTCTGTTTTCGCGAAACTTTTCGCGGCGATACAGTGCACGATATCCCCCCCTCCTCCCCCCCCCCCATTCCGTTCGACGTACGCCAATCAAGAGTCCCCGCGGCAACATAAGTCGTTCGATATACGTTTATACCTGTCGAGGCATCTCGAAAGCGCTCCTATGTATGCGCGTATAAAAGCATTTTTCTTCTCGTCCCGCGCGAGCTGAATCAAGAGCACTTCTCCGCCGGTTTTCGATACCGGCAATCGCGAGAAACCGCGCCGCGCCGATGGAAACGTCGGTTTCCAATGACGCAGCTGGTCTGTCACGAAGATCGAACGCCGAATCGAGCGGCGGCTTTTTCCTCGCGCGCGACTCGAAGTCGCTCGAGCACGAACGAGCACGGCGATGTGCAACGTCGTCGGTTCGCGATAAAAAAGAATAATAAAAAAAAAAAGAGAGGATGAAAATAAAAACGACTTATCGCGGCCGGCGCGATCGTTTTCGATGGCGATATCGTCGCGGCCCGAGAAACCCGTTTTCCCGAAGCCGTACTGTATAGAAGCAGACGACGACGATGACGGAGAAACCTCGCCGCGGTAACGCCGAATTGCGAAAGCGAGGCTAATATATATAATAGGAGCAAATCTCTCGCCCGCTTTCAGCAGCCGATTCTTCAGCGATAAACGATCCCCGCGGGACGGAGGCCGCGGCGGCGGAGGCTTCGTTCTCTTACTCGCCGCCGCGACCGGGTCCTTCGCCGCGCCGCCGCCCGGCCTCAAAGATATTGACACGATCGGGTCGGCACCCCGAGCCATTGTTGCACAGAGCACATCACTCTACGGCCCCCTTTTTACGGCCCCGTCATTGCGCAACAGGAAATCGATTATACCGCATGCTTCTCAATTATATCGGCTCATCGAACACCCGTCAATCTACGGCGACGTGTGCACTTTCGACGGAAAATCGGACGCAATCTCGGGTGAATTCATTTTTTGTCCTTACAGACACGGAATAGCTGTTAGTGCGCTTTTTTTTTTTAAAGAGGAAAAGAAACAGTGTGAGTTTTTTCAACGTGAAAGAACGTCGTAAGAACTGCCCGGCTAATTAGCATTCCGAAGCGGGCTTTCCCGTTTTTGCCGCGTGGCCACGGCGCGGCGGCAGGCCTCGTGGTCTCATTAGGCAGCCGGTTCAGAAGAAAATGTGAGAGCAAGAAATATATCGCAACACACGGGAGGCTGGCAAATCCATAAATTAAGGGCATGCCGATCTTTCGAGCGACTCCGAGCGGTCGCTCCTTTCGAAACGCACCGCCGCCGCCGCCGCCGCCGCCGCGCCGTTCCGCGCGACGTTATAATTACGCCCGGTATTGTGGATGCACACAGGCGGGCAAACGCATTAAGTTTGCCGCATAAGGTAGGCGGGGTGGTTTAGAAATATCGGGTAGATCGTTGCGCACATATATACACATCCCGCGTACAGCGGGACGAAGCTGAACTCGCTGATGGCGTCTCGCGATACACTGCAGAGATGAAACCCTCCATTACGGTAACGAGATTGCCCAATTAATTTAACGTTGATCTTCCGCATGGAAATTCGAGTGGGTGTCACTTGTCTCGCAACTTTCCATATTCAATATTAAGTACACTCGTAATTATTTTAATTAATTCCAGCAAAACTCTGTTTCAATAGAGCTTGACTCTCTATTGAAATAGAATTCAGCTGGAATTAATTAAGGAACAAAAATTAAATCTATTCATCGCAGTAATTATATATGATTCCAATTCGCGAAAATCTCTCGACTCTTGACATAATTTCAGAAAATTATCGCTCCAACATTAACGCGTTCATAAATAATCAATTATAAATTGATTAAGGAATCGGTGCCGTGAAAAGATGCGGGGGAAATTGGTGTGCGCCAAATTGCGCGCTTATTAATCTGCTTTCAACTTTCCCGCGCGGCAATCTCTGAAAAAGCATGTAGCCGAATGACATTCTAATGATAAAGAAAAACGAAAGTTAGAGAATCAGCGAGGCTGCAGGCTTGGCCTCGTAAATACGAATCGCGGCTTGGCGCGAGGTTTCGTGTGGCCGACGCGCGCGGCGGACGGAAGAAAGTGAGAGCGAACACGGTGCTCTTATATATGCGCAAATAGATCGCCGGTGTGGTCAGTCTCGCAGTTTTCAAAAGACAAGGGCGCGCGCCGGTGTGCCCGCGCGTCATACCAATGCGCGCGCCCGGCGAAATGCCCATACGAAATGAGTCACGTTCTCGCTCTCGCTTCGCGCGCGCGAAACCACCCGCGCGCGAGTATTCGAGCCTCTTAGAGAACCTTTTTCCGAGCACCGCCTTTGTTAACGCCGAGCTCGCGCGTGCACGCCGCGTCGCACTTTCAAATATTTGTTTCGACCTTACGTGAGAAACGATCGCGCCAGCGCGAGCGCGCGGTCGTTTACGGCCGGGGCGCGAATCGGCGCGGCGTTCCCGTTCATTTTCTCGCGCGTTCGTTCTCACTTCCGGCGGAAGAATACCGAAACGCCGAGCAAACAGGATGGATGGCCGGGACATCCAGCGAAGTCTTCTGCCGCGTGTCGATCGCGCGCGCGAGAACACGTCTTCCACGCGAGAAAGTCATCTTGCCGTTGCCTTATAGAAAGACAGCGCGGGAAAATAACGGCGCTAGATAATGAAAGTTGTCAGGTTGATTCTTTACGCAGGCGATCCACATCCTTATGGCGTCCTCGTCGGGGCCGCGTCGTTGCACGTAATCGGGACGCCGTTACATGTTGACTTTCGCTTCGTTGATAAACGTGGGCGCTACACAACCACCGGGCACGGTTGCCCGTGTACGCTCATTGTTGTACGCCCGGTTTATCATTGGCATCTACACGCGCCCGCTTCCACGCGAGAGATGCGGGAAG